CTCCGGAGATGGGATAAGAGGGGGGAGGGGGCCAGGAGGGGGAGGGGGAAAGAGGGCGGAGGGGGGATGAGGAGACGGAGGCGGTGCAGAAGAGGAGGAGGAGAATCAGGCAGAGAGTCGGAAAGGAAGGGCCGTTTCGTCATCACCGCCCACCGCCCATCGGCAGATCGGCCGCTTTCCTCGCTGCGCCAACAACGGCAAACGATTCCCTGTTCGGGAACAGGTCGTTCTAGATTTGGCGTGCGGTGGCATCCGGTAGAGATGGAACGCCACCACGACTCGTCTGGGGCTATCGGGGCTCGCGCGCAGGAGGGCGAGCTTGGGCAGGGGCCCCAGAGGGAAAGGACAGCAACGCACTTCCGGCACAAAGCCAAAGAATACGTGACAGCGGAAGTAATGCTTGAGCGAACCGGGCCGAACCCACAAACTCGACAACGGGCGTCGAGTTCCCGCATCCGCGTGAAAGATACCCATCCCCCGCCCCACGTCTTTTAAAAGCCGACATGCGCCACGAGGAGGAGATCTGAGAAGCTCAACCTGAGCGTGCTCCCACTTGATTCGTCAATTTGTCCCGTCTATGTTGAGCAGCTTCGTCAGGTGCTCGCAAAGAACGCAAATTAGCGAACCCGGCGGACGAAAACGAGATGCAACGTGGCCTTCCGCGAAGGATCGTTGCACGCGCACTAGTCGGGGACGTCGTTTGTCCTCAAGCGCCGCAGCCTAATGCTGGGCCTCCATCTTGTTGTGCCTTACTCTGGCTAGACCCGCCATGGCGCGAAGACGCCAGGGTCGGTCCAGCTTGGAACCCTCCCTGGAAGCCTCCTGCAGCCCCCCTACGATGGCTGAAAAGGGAGCCCAATCCTCAGTGCCCGAAACAAACTAAGCAGCACGAGCCGTTCGTCACAATGCAATGACAGGGGCTAGCCGAACAGCTAGGTTTTACTCCAGGACGCTCGTAGCCAGCTCGCAATAAAAAGGGATACCGCGTTTCGCATATCCGCAGCTGAACGAGCTATGTCCCTCGCCCGAGACCCCCACTTCGCCGAGGCCCCCTCCCGCTGGTTGCCCGGGGTCGCACTCGGACCCAGCTCCGCACGTAGGTAAGCAAGCTGGCTCACAATCTGGAAGACCCTCCACGACGGTTCGACACTCTGGAGAAGCAAACGGGCCGCCCCCTGTGGGGGCTCGGAAAGTTCCCGCGAAAGCGGAACACAACATAATTTCCGAAGGTGCAGGGCGAGCCTCGCCCATAATTTCGGAACGTGGGCAAATCTGGCGAGTTGACGCAATCCCCTCGCCCCTCCCACCACCGACCCATTGCCATCGGCGCATCGCCTGGCCAGACCGCGGCGTCTGCGACCCAGACTTTCCTCAAGTTCGGTCGCGAAGCGGCGGCTGGCAGTGGCCAAGAGGCCCTCCGACGCCGGACCCCTCCGGGAGGGGCCGAACATGCAAAGCGCAAAGGGGCGCGACACGGGGCCGGAGCTGAGCGAGCGAGCGCCGCTACAACACTGCTGGATGGCGCGCCAGGACCAGATCCCGAAACAAATTCGCGCTCGACCGACGGAAGCGCCCGGGCGCAGTCAAACGCGAGGAGCGGGGCCTCGAGGGGGCAGGGGGGGCACCCCCTCCGGTCTGGCAAATGTTTCGAGTTCGATTATATGAGCCTGGCGCGTCCCCAACCAGGGGAAAGCTTCCTATTGCATGGGCGCAGTGGCGCAGTGCTTTGGGTTGCTTGGGAATGTCTAGCATTGCTTGGCAATGTTTAGAATTGCGTGGAATTGCTAGGCATTGCATCGCATGGTTTCGCATTGCTTGGTATTGCTTGTATTGCTTGGCGTTGCTTGGCATTGCTTCGCATATCCCGCGGGCCTGAGGGGCTCTGGAAACCCTGGGGGGCCCGGGAAACCGACGAGGGGCCCAGGGGGCCCGGGGAACCTCCGGGCAACGGGCAACGAAACAATAGGAAACGCCGGGGGATGGGAACACGGGGAAACCGAATAATCTCAGGGGGGCGGGCGCAGTGAGCCCCCGAGGCGCCGACCTTTACCTTTGACCAAAGAACTACTCAGAAAAGGCACGGCCCACGACGCAGCCTCGTCGGGGGCGAGCAACAGAGCGGGTCGCGCCACGCTTGATTTTGGCGCTAATTGCTGCCAAAATCACCCTCGCTCATGCGTTTCGCAATGCATGCGGGCGGGCGCGGCCTGGCCCGCGGACGACGCCCTCGCCGTCAGCCGGGCCCCCCCTCGGAAGGTGCACTCCTATAGTTTCATTCGGCGAATGCCGCGCGGGGGGGCTCTGCGACATCCAATCGAACACGTTGCGCGCCGCCGCGGGGCCAAGTTCATCTTGGGGCAAGGGGCGCGCGCGAAGGACATCTGGCCCTGGTTCCGCCACTTTGGCGCCCTGCAAGACGCGCCTCACGCCCCCGGCGACGGGGGGGCCCCATTGGCCCTGAGGCGCGGGGGGCAATCTTCTTCCTCGACGGCGGCTTCCGTCGATCACGAGGAGGCCTCGCAGGACAGGATACCGTGCCCCAGAAGCAAGACATGCAATCGCTCGCGGCGCACAACGGCCCCGACACCCCCCCATCCCCCTAGACTAGGCCATCGAAGTATTTCCGAGGCCCAGACGGAGCACGGAGCATTGCGCGGCGACGGTTGGCTCTCTTCTGGCCCTGGACACGCTTTCTCAACTCTGCCTGGGTTTTGCCCGCCTCCTCTCTTCCCATGGTCCGCCTCGTCCACGCTGTGTCTCTCCGCTGGGCCGGGTCCACTTCGGACTGGAAACTGGCGGGGTCAGGAATGGCCCCCGACTGCGTCGATGTCGGAATGAAGCCCACCGCTCGCGGACGGCAGACAAGCAGCGCGCCCGCCGGGCCGCGCTCTCACGATTCACAGCGCGCCACATTTGGCGGAAGATTATCGCGAGGGACTCCGAGGCCCGCCCAGTGGACCTCGGCATTTGCATCTGGGCGTCCGTGGCCGTCGCCTGCAAGGAAGGCCACCGACAGCGTCGCCGTCCGACCTGGCAGGGACAGCTCCAGGGGCGGGGTCGCAGAGGCGCGCGCCTGCCAGGAATTTCTGAATTTCGCGCGATTGCACGCTGGCCGCGATGCCGGAGCTGGGCGGGCCGCGTCTCTGGCCGGGGATGGCCGGCTCGACGGCTCAGCCACGAGCGCGCCGTGGGCGCTGATCTCACGTGTAAAGTTCCCCGGCGGCTCGCCTGGCCATGGCGTGGCGCCCAGCTTGGCGCGCCGGCGAACGGCGCGTCGATGGCCGCGCCGCGCCGCGCCCCTGGGTGGCGATGAATCTGGAGGTCCGCCGCGAGCTCAGTCGCCCCTGCCAGGGCCCCCCCCCGCCCGCCACTTCTGACGTGGGCGACGACGCTGGGCCGCGCTTTCCACCGCCGCCCCCGCGAAGTTCTCGCGATCTATCGCGCCCCCCGCGACGGGGTCGCCCGCGATCGCCGCCGCCCTGAACTGCGGCCCCCCCTTTCGCGCGATGGAGGTCCGCTTCGACCGCGCGAGTGGCGCGGCGGAGCTGCTCCAGCAAGAGGCCGCGGCTGCGAATGTTCCAATGGGGCGGTGTTGCGCGAAGAGCCCCGCGGGCGCCTGGCGCCAGGCCGCGCCGCCGCCGAGCCCCGCAAAGAAGTTGCTCTCTTTTTTTCCGCCCGCCAAGGGCCCCGCGAGATGCGCCCCCGCCCGCCCGGCGTCGGGCGGGATGAGAAGCTGGGAGGTGAAAGCCATATCCGTGGTCAGCGCTGGCGCCAGACGCAGCGCCAAGGCCAGGCGACGCCGGCGACGCGGTTGCGTGGCCCGCTTGCTCCCGAGCCGCCAGCTAGAAGCAACACATGTTCGCGCAAACGTGCGCAGCTGCTTCTAGATGGGCCCGCATGGGGCGACGGCGCGGGAATCGAAGTAGCGCCCGTCGCCCTCTTGGTCGCACTGGGCGCAGACTGGTCTGAAGGAGGAGCGAACGTTAGAGAGGCGCCCACCTGCGCCGGGGCCGAGGAAGGCGGGGCCGCGGGAATCCAAGTTTTGAAAATTTTCGCCCGTGCCAGCAGGGCGCGGCCAGGAGCGACTTGAGAGTCATGGAATAATGCTTCGCGGCCCATTAGGGGCCTCGGGAAGACCGCGATAACGCTTCCAAGATCTTCGCGCTCTCCAGGGCAAAAGGAACCTCTGGGCCAACACTGCTACAGACCTACTCCATGGATCACATCGCCCACCCGAAGAATCGACTCATGGGTCTCCTGCGCCGCCACGCAAGCATTGCAGGACGCATTGCAGTCTCATTGAAGCAACGCATATTTTCTCGCGCATCCAAGCGGCATGGCGGCGCGCAACGCTCGAGTTCCATGTCCCCAGCTGGACTCACCACCCACTGCAATCTGCGACCCAGCGCCTGGGCCGCCCTGTCAAAGACGCCACTCTGGGCTTGGGGTTCCGCAGCTCATGAGCGACAGCAGCGACGAGATCGTGTCTCTCCAGACCCAGGCGGCGCGGTGCGGTCCGACTCCGCTGAGTCACCACATCGGCCAATTGCTTATCCATGTTCATCTGGCGCACTGGCATCCACTGGTACGTGATCGCGCGGGCGCGTCGCTCGCAGCAGAGATTGCCCCTGGAACTTGGGCTGCAACGCGCCTCGCAGGCAGGTGCTGAAGCAAGATATCGCATGTGATTTGCTTGCGATTGTCGCCCCTGCCGACGGAGAGTTCCGCGTCTGCGCCCAGCGGTCGCAGCGCCGCGATGCGCCTGCAGCGCTTGTTAGGCAGCCGCATGCATCCGCGGATCTTGTTGACCCTGCGCGGAAGCAGCGCGCCCCCCCCTTGGGGCGGGCCAGGAAGCGAGAACCCAACTCGTGACCCTCCATCTGGCAATGGTCGGATGCGATGGCAGCACCCCGCGCGAGGCGCTGCGGGCTCGCCGCGATGCAGTGGCATTTTTCGCCACCACCTCCCCGCGATGATGGCGCGGTTTACGGCGCGCCCCC